GCGAACCTGAGAGTTTCGATTTTTGTTAATTTCGCATCATCTGGGTATGTTGGCAATACACATCGAAGTCTGTCCAAAGCTTCGTTTAACATATGCATCCGATTTCGTTCCCTGTCATTTGCCTTCATGCGCCGGTGTTTTTTTATTTTAATCAGCTAAACGAAAACAAATTTAAATCACGTAAATATTTTATAATTTTTTTTTTCGTTTGGTTGTTCTTAATTTTTAATTTTAATTTTTCTACTTCAATTAAACTATCTTACCTGCATTGGACTTCGTTCTCTCGTTCTTCTTTGTCGGCGTTTTTTTGGTTTTACTTGTAGGTCGTCGTCGGCTAAACTCACGGACGAAGCGAAACCCTCGGAGCCCATTGTATCGTCCAATGAAAACGTAGCTTCATTTTCCGAGTCAAAGCTCATTTCAAATCCTGAATCGGAACCGTCAAGACCGTATAAACACTTCGGATCCATGGTCGCCAAGAGACTGGTTATACATAAACRCGGTGCGTTCGATCATCGCACCCTCGCAGGCACCCGGTCGGGGGTGGGCGGACCAGCCGTTTTACTATTGGGCAAGTGCAACACCCTCATCACTGTCGTCGCGATTAGGGTGGGGGTATATTTTCAGTTACCGTTTTCAGGTCGGCAATGCTTTTGTAAATCACGAATTCGTGAATTTTATACCAACTTTTTTATTGGAAATTCGTTTCGACACATAAACCAATTTTTAGCGCAKATGTATATGTGGCACTGACACTTTCCGAAGAAAATCGAAAAGGGGTTAACTCATGTTTTTTGTAAGGTACTATTTTTTATTTTACGTGGAAGCGTAATCGATAAATCAAATGATAGTGATTTAGTCTGTAACGAATTGTAAATGATTATTATTGATGCGCTGTGTATATAAAATAAATAGCAATAAGTGGAATAGAGCGTTGTGAACTCGGGGCAAGGCGTTCGAAACTCAAAACGCCCGTAAATCAAATTATAGCATAATATTATCTAACGGGGTAAAGTGCACTATATAWWTTATTTTCGTAACGAATATTTTCAAACAGCTGGGTGGACATCTATACCTAATGGCTAATACATATTATAGTTACTTATTTCGTACCGAAAATAATACGACGATACACCAGCTATAGGTGTAAAGTGTGCACATCAGTTCAACCTGTGTAATTTTGAACATTAACGTAAAAKCCATCACTGCGACGCCGATAAACGCATCAATTGTGTTGTTCGGGAAGCCGTGACCATGTCAATTAGGGCATACATTTAAATGAGAACTGGCACACGTAAAGATGGTGTTAATTACTATCGCATACTATTAATGTACTTATTGTTTTTAAGCTCTACGCGCTGTGTTATATGATGCACGTCATTAAAGCGTTCCGGATGACTTTTTTTCTTCCTAAAAACTATATATTTGTGACGTATATTCTAGCGGCTTCAATGATTCAGAAAGACGAAATTCTGTGTCGTATGGGACGTGACCCGTGGACCATGTTTGCGGAGTACGATTTTTAACCACGTTTTGTTGTTACCTTTGACCACATCACACTCGAATAGCGCTATTGGTACCTACGTAGTTAAGGTTATGTTAGGAAAATTCCTAACAGGTGGGTTTAGGTTTTAAAACATATTTACTTACGTTTTAGAGTCAAYTGAAATAATATGCAAGCGACTACTTACATTTTATTAAACCGGCACAAATGCGGTTGCACTAGACAAAATTATTAGCATATAATTAGGTGCTTAATGAATATAATGTTGTAGTTCCATATCCGACACATCAATAGTTACATGTTACATAGTTTACATGTTATACTCGCCTGTCGCCTGCAATGATAAATGTGACGTACATTTTCACGGATATAATACTTTCAATAAAATATGTTATTTGTACCATGTGAACTTACATAGAATGGCATTGTTACATGTGAAAAAAAACACTCATCCGTCTAAAATTACCGTTATATGAACATAATATACCTTCCTTCCAGGATGTGGTCATGTTAAGAAATTGTTTCAATGGAGTATTTGTTAAGGTAACAAAAATAAATAATTGCCAATGGCAAATRAATAATTATAATATTACACTGTGTGTAGTTTTCAGGATCACTTCCCYGATGGCTTCTGTTTTACTAGGTACGATCGTACGAAATTTTTAAAACTACCAACACTTATTATACTAATAKTAACAAAAGACAGATTTTATCACGGTGTATTAACAATATGGTTTCCTTTCATATCACAATCAGTTATTAATATAGGTATGCTCTAAAAACAAATATTTCAAACGTATCTTATGAAGTGGAATTGTTATTATTAATTTTTTATTAGTAAATTTCTGATTGTATATATACTATGTAAAAGTAACAGAAATGTGTTATTATATGAACTTAGTTTATAAGTATCAACTATCAAATAAAAACACATTCATTACTATASCTATATTATTGTTTTCAGCTTTGATAAGTACCTATGTACCTACGTGTTTATGTACATACTAACGTTTGGATATTTTATAATTTTCTTATATTTTTATAGATAAACGATGTATAATTTTTGATTCGACAAACGTAAATCACACCATAATTTAACGGATGTAACGTTTCATCGTAGAAACTGTTAGCCTTTTTTATAATATATTTATCTATAAGAATACAATAAGGTATTATAACTTATTGGCTTAACACACGTCAGACCCTGCAGTATAGTGATCCTATTTGTGGTAATATAGTATCAAAAGTTTCGACCGAATTACCGATTTGCAGCACCGCGTTGAGTATGGAACGGGAGAGGGTAAAAAAAAAAAAAAAATAATAATAATAATAAAACAAAAAAAACTTTTTGCATTCGTATTGTGTGTTATACGTGTATAGGTTTTGGGGCTTCACAAACAACCGGAACAAAACGGGTTCCATTGAAAAGAAAAGGGTTGGTAAATTATTAACTGGACCCTTTGGGGGTTTTTCATTTCAAAGATCACTCTCCCTTTTTTCGATGTATATACTTTATACTTTTTTTTTTATTCATTTTAAAACGTGTATTCTGCGACAATGTATTCATATATACATAAAATCCATGCACCCGGCCAGCCATTAGTGCGTCAACAAGGCATTACAAGTCGGATTATCGTTTATTTACTTATCGGTCGAATCAAAAGTATGATATGACTTAGCTGTAAAGGTTATATTTTTTTCTATGTTGGTTGTATTATACGTATTAATATTTAATAGTCAGTGGTTTGTTCATTAAATTATCGTTTAAAAAGCATGTAATAGAAAAATAAAAGGTGTATTCTCTTGTGAGTATATTGGATTATTGGCATTTTGTTCTTAAACTTATTACCTACTTCGAAAATAAATATATAGAATTTTCGATCATTTTTATTACTTCATAGAAAAGGTTTTTATATATGTTTTTGATACGGACGACATTTTTGTATTTATACTATAAAATAATATAGTGTCATAGAATTTTATTTTTTATTTTTGTAAATTKCATTTGAAGTTATAAGTTTATATCATACACCTACCTATAGTTACACCTTACTTCAGTCTAAATACTAGTAAGTGTAGTAACCCATATTTTTTAAATCTTTTTCGAGATATTTATACATATAGTTAGCATTTACTAGGTAATGATCAATTTATTTGAACACCTCAAATTTCATGTTGACGAAAGTCATCAGATTTATTAATTTATTCATGCATATTTATACTCTAAAAACAATCATGGTAATAGTTGAACCTAAGAAACCTAACCTATCTTATCCTACAATTGTAGTCAAGATATTTAATTACATGATAATTGTGTGCAAATTAAGTTTAATAACGATTTTACAAAAAACATTAAATTGAATTTATAATAATTATAATGGTTATTATTATGATTATTATTGGTTCATTATGAGAACATTTTATGTTGAATAGTATTCCAATTAAAACCATATAATTTTATTTAATTAAATAGTTTTCTTATCAAGTAGCAATATTTTGTTATTAAATAAACCATGAATTCATACTTTTTAAATATTTTATCTAATGCAAGGATTTTAAAAATAATGATCATAAAATATGTTACGACCATCAAACATCGGATATTCTAGCATGTAGTTCTATGCTAATATTAATGATCATATTATAATCCTGAAAACATAAGAAAGGTTAGTGAGTCAAATATTTGTTTTACTTACCAAGAAATGTAAAAAAATATGTATTGTTAATTTATCTATATACTGATACATCAGTGTTGATGTATTTCTATAATCTTGTTTTTTGTGTTTTATTTCCATAAAGTGAAATAGGGGTCTTCCTCGTGTGTAGGACCAGCAAATACAAATGGACTTTGTAATGGGAACACAGATAATTTCCCTAAATAGGATGAATGTTTATGTACAATCCACAGTTAACCAGCTCGAGGGCTGTTATTATTATTTTGTATACCCTGTGCAAACTAAGAAATGTATTCTATTTTTATTTTTTTTATTAAATCTCAAAAAATAATATTAAAAGACTTACATAAGTACTGTATAAAATATATGTGTATAACTATAATGAATAGCTTAATTGTTGTTATGTAATTAGGAGTTGTATTTATTATATAATTAAATTTAATGTTGTTTTTTATGGATGCCAATAAAATAATTAGTATAACAATTAAATTGTTTCTAAAATACAAGAAAAGATACATATACTCGTAGTAATGAACAAACAATGAAATATCCAAAGTTTGAATCAGATTATTGATATCTGATAAAATACTAATAAAATCTAATCGACATTTTACTTTTAGGTTTTTAAGATTTAAACAAACTTATCAAATCCTATAGAACGGCATCTAATTAGTAATTACGAATAGTGGGCCACTATACGCTCACGTATCATTATTTTTACGTATATATTCGTATAGAATACATCAAATTTTATAGTTAATCATTTTCCAGTTTATTGTTTCACTATTTCCTTGAGAAATAGTCGAAAAATTTTCCATAACTGTACTACTTATACGTAAAACATTGTGCACATAAAACCACATTATTATTATAGTGGCACAAAATTATACATACGAAGAGAATTAATAATCTTTAAATATTGATATTTAATATCCGCAACAAGAAGATAAAATTTTTGAGTAATATAGTTGATTTACGATATTCATTTTAACAAGAAATGTAAGTTTTTATTTGATTCATCAAATCAAATACTTAGATTTCTTTCGGTTCACGGACATACGATTAAAATACATAAATTATAATATTTGCATATTCGCTGCGTCTTGGCATACTTATTAGTTATCATACTTATTACACTCAAATGTTTCGACCACCATACAATTATTTACAACATTATAACAGTAGTCGACCCATGAGCGATGGTAGTGAACAATATTCTCTCGGGTATTACGAATTTATACAACCACATTCGTGGGGGGATTTGAAATAACAATAAGAAATAATAATGACT